AGCTTCTCTGCCTTGGCGTCCGGTGACTTGTCCACTTTTTCTGCCTTCTCTGACTTTTCGGCTAGCTTTGACTTGACTTTTTGCTCTTTGCCCCCGCTATCCGTCGCTTTGGTATCCTTTGCACTATTCTGGCCGCTTTTCGCACCCATTGAGCTCTTCTGTTGGCTGCTCTTCGCTGGCAAATCAGGAAAACTACTGTTTGAGCTGTCTGAGTGCTGCAGTGTTGCAGCTGTTGCCGCCGCCAAGGCACTGGTGGCTGCCAAGTCTGGAGCCGACTGTGCCGAGTCCATGTCACTCAAATCCAAATTGCTTGATCCCTTAATTGGCGTGTGTGCCGCTCCAGCTGTTGAGCCAGATGTGGGTGTCGACCCCTGCTTATTGCTATGCTTACTGTCAGCCTCGCGTTGTCGTTTCTCTTCTTTGCTGGCGGTTTTATCTTTCGATTTTTTGTGTTTCTCTTTCTTGCTGTTCACCGACGCTGATTTGTCAACGCTGGGTTCAGCCTGCTGCTGACCACTCAGTTCTGTTTTCGGAGATGCTTCAGTAGTTCCTGCAGCCGCTGCTGTTGCTACTGTTGTCGACTTATCCGATGCATTTGGCTGTTGCTGCTGTGACTTATCCTTCTCACGATCCTTGGGCTTGTCCTTGTCGCGCTCCTTATCCTTATCCTTATCGCGCTCGCTGCGATCCTTGTCTTTCTCCTTATCCTTTTCTTTATCTTTGCTCTTATCCTTCTTCTTGTGCTTGTGCGATTTCTTGTCCGCGGTGCCATTGCTATTGCTGCTCGTTGATTTCTCGTTTTTGCTTTCGGCGACTTTTTCGACGCCCTTTGTTGTTGCAGCAGGTGATTTTTGCGGTGGCACCGTCAGCTCATCCTTGTCATAGGCTCGTTTACCAATGCTAGAGGCCATACTACTAGTACTTGCGCTGCTGCCCAACGAATTGGGTGTGCTTTTGCCGGTGGCCTTCATAGAATCATAGCTGGCTTGAGATTGTTGCGACTGTGCCTGTTGTGTTTGGTTGTTATTGCTACTACTACTGCCGGTTGCCGGACTGTCGCCGTGTCCACGCTCGTCCTTTAGCGACCGCTTATCCTTTTCCCGCTCCTCCCGCTGTTTTTCCCTTTCCCGTTCACGTTCCTTGTCTTTTTTCTCCTTTTTCGACTTTTTGTTTGAGCTGCGCTCTTTATCCTTTGACTCAGACTTCCCAGTGGACTTGTGCTCGTCACGTTCTTTGGAACGGGCATTCGGTGTACCAGATGCACTGTCCGTGGGCTTTTTGGGACTCATTTCGGCTAGGCCGCTTCTACCACCGGCCTTAGGGCTGACAGTGCGACGGACTAATGCACTAGCAGCTGCAGTAAGCGTGCTGCTGCTACTACGTTCTCGTTCGCGATCCTTGTCGCGGGATTTATCCTTTTTGGATTTCTCCTTGTCTTTGTCGTGTTTGCTGCTGCTGCTCTCGGATTTGCCAGACTTTCGTTCTTTATCGCGACCATGTCGATCTTTTTTGTCCTTGTCACGTGGTTTGTCCGAACTGTTTGACTTGTCGCGCTCCTTACTTGACTTATCTTTACCATCGTGAGCACCGACCTTGCCGCCACTAGAGCCCGTTTGTGCCTTAGCATCTGGTGAGTGTTTGGATGCACTTATTGCCGGTAGATTAGCGCTACCCGCACTGCCTTTTGTAATGGGTGAGCCAAAGAGTGCTGAGAATGTGCTAGCCTTGCCCTCATCGGTACGCGACTTGTGTTTCTTAGTGGAACCCGACTCGATTACCATACTGCTGCTGCTACCACCCTTCGCCTTGACTACGTTTAAATCTGATCCTGGTGGTTCACTAGGTGACACCGTTCGATTCAGAGTGCTTGCGGCAGCAACGTTTGCACCAAACACCGGCACTCCGCCTCCACGCAACAATTTTGCGCGAAACTCCTCTGAAGGAGCCTCAAAAACATGAGTTTTGACTTCAACACGATGACGAGGTGGACCGGAATTTTGCAGATCTAAATCGTATTGGTACATAATACGCTTTGGTTCGTCTCTATTGCGAAAATATATTTCGACGGGCAGTATAAAGCCGGCATAGCCTGATTCCTGTATGACATAAGGTGGCTCTTTGATCACTAAAAAGAGATAATTGATATTTTGGCGCGCAAATTGAAAACAATATAAATATTAAGTCTTACCACGCTTTGGCTTGGGAAAAGAGTTATGCAGAATAAAGACGACCTTGTCAACGAATGCACTTATTTCTGCCTTATTTACGCCCTGCACATAAATCTCCCAGTCATGGGTGAAGCCCAGCGGATGTTTTTTGTTGCGCAGCTTTGATGTGTGACCAATTTCGAACTGCACCTTGACTGCCATATCGAAGTCGCCGGTAACGGTAACGGTAACGCATTAATCTACTATGGCCTTTATATCAATATTCTCTATATAAACAACAATTTGTTCGATTTGCCTGCTCTCCACTTTGAGGCGGCGCAGTATGAATGTCTGGCCGAGTTTTATGTGTTGGTGCCACCTTAACCAAATGTTGTAAGTACCAGGCAAAAGCAGTAATTAAATGTTTATTACTGTGCAATTTTAACCATTTAACTGTTACACTTCGTGTGAAAGCGACTTCGGCTCAAGCTTTTTTTATTTAACAACAAATACGGGCAAAGAAAACGAAAACACTCGCACCACATACACATTGGGTAATATCGATATCGATATATGTAAATAACTTGGATAACTGGATAATGCAACACTGCAGATCTGCGCAAAGCTCCGTTTTTCGAATTATGTTTTCGATTTTCGATGAGTATTCAAGTTGAAATGCTTAAATTCTCTCCTGAATTATTGTTATTAATTATAATGAATTTGCATTGCATTCTATGACTGACAAGTAAAATATAAGTATATTCTACAACATTTTTGACAGAATTTTAAATGTTTTAGGTCTCCTTTTATAAAAATATGCACCTCTTAATTTAATTTAATAATAACTATTAATATTATTATTGATATACTAAATACTAATATTTTGTTAATACCGACTGCGATAGAACAAAATACTACAGATATAATATCGATAGCTGAACCGCTGTTGACAGCAGCTGTTTTGCCATTCACTTGCAACTGTGAAAACAATTAAATGTTTTGCGAAAAATTAGCTCAATAAAACGTGAGGAAATTGCAATTCATTAAATGTAAGCAGTAGATAGACCTTGTTTGCACATAGGGAGTGTCTAACATGGCTAGCGATTATAGCGCCAGCCAATTCGTCTCAACAAACACATGTGCAGCAAGTGCAGCGAGCTCCTCACGCTGGTTGACCGAGGAGGTCTTCAAACTGATCGATATTGTGCAACGCGATGAGGCCATTTATAATCCGAGACATAAATATTACTTTTGCCGGCCATACGTGGAGAACTTTTGGCGTGAAGTTGATCTGAAGTTGGAGAAAAATCCCGGCGCTAGCTTAGCCAAATGGACTAATCTGCGCATTTCATTTCGGCGCGAATACACCAATTATTTGGAAGAGAAAGTTCCACCATGCTGGTCGTACTTTGATCGCATGTTTTTTCTGCATCCATATTTGCGTAAAAAACATCAACAGCCCAAATCGTTAGACACGCAGGTTCAAGATGCACTGGCCCATCTCAGCAACCTCTCAAGTCGAATGCAGCGCGAGCGAGCGGTTAATACTTGTACAGCGGCAAGTTCTACTAATGCCAGCAATTCGGCGCAAGTGAATCCCAATGGAACTATTCACTCGGCGCAGCAATCACCGCAACAGCAGCCGCTTGACAATTATTTGGACTATTTTGATGAGCACGACCACAACAACTCGGAGCTTGACGAAATAATTGATGAGGAGCACAGGGCACGTTTTCAAAATCATACGCTCGACAACAATGACATCAAATCAGAGTGCGAAGAACCAGTCGATGACTACGAAGCCGAGCAAGAGCAGCGCGTTCATCATCAAGATGAGGATGACCACGATCATGAGCCCGATGAGCATGAAATGCGCTCGTTAGCATACGATGCGTCAACTACCGCTGCGGCACCCAGTTCTACATCCACATTAGAGAAACGCTACACTCAACATTATCAACAGCACGCTAGCAGCAGCAGCAGCAGCAACGGTAGCAGCCGGCTGCAACACATGAATCGCTTACAGCTACGGAATTACCACGATGAGGCACGTTCAATGCGCTCTCGCTCCCAGGAGCTGCAAGGCGTTGCTGCTGCCGCTGCAGCAACCGCAGTGGCGGCATCTGTCAGTGCTGCAAATTTGCAAACTCATTCAAATATTTCATTTGTACGGCCAACCTTCAGCAGCAAGGCCGTGGACATGGTGAGCACCACAACGCATGCTAATTCAATGGTCGCTGGCAACACTGCTGCAACAGCAGCATCCACAACGGATAATGAGAATCTGACCGTTGTTGCCGCGCCTACCAGTGCTTATCTGAGCCAGCGTCATATGCATGTGCCGCACACACACGCCCACACCCATCACCAGATGGCGACTCCAACACAGCGTCTGGAGTTGAGCAATTCATCAACAGCAGTGGCATCAGCCGGTTCGGTTGAACTGTGCGACTGCAAGACCGATTCGGATGCCATGTTTCTAATGAGTCTGCTGCCCGACATTCAGAAGCTGAATGGACGTGATCGCGGAAAGATCAAAATAGCCTTCCAAAACATATTGCAGGATTATTTGTATCCCGACTAAATGCGACTCTAAGTCATTATTGGCTGCTAGTTAAGATCTCCCAGCTCTATTCTGTGTATACAATTTTGCTTATAGCATGCACAAATTAAGTTTATCGATCGGCTCAGCCGAAAGTTTTTGTTTTGAACGTATTTCCTTAATTCCTTGAAGCTTTGCTGTGCAAAAACAAAGTATCCTTAATTTGTACTTTAACTGTATATCCTTTGAACAGTATGTGTTATAAATTATTTTATTTATATAATATATGTATAAATATATAATGAATACAATATGTTTTGTTAAATTAAGAAATTCATTCAAAATTTACAATTGTCGATGGCTTATGTTAAACTATAGCTACGCAAGCCTGTTCAGAGTCTCTATTCGGATTAAGGCTTTAAATAGTAATACATCATTGAAATTGAGAAGAACTCAAAGAGGGGTTATTGAACATTATTCTCAGACTGTATTGCGATTGCAAGTTATTGATTCAATTTAGATTTAGTCAAAGAGCTTCAGATCGCGCGCTATCTTCTGTATTTTATTGTCTAGCGTCTTGTCTTCGTACTCGCAGATGTAGTAATGCCTGGATGTGCACTCTTGTCCATAGTAGGCATAGCTGTGTTTGCCCGCGTTGTAGCTGAGGCGCAAGCAGCGCCCCTTGCCCTCTATTTGGACTGTATTGTTGAGTATATCGCTGTCACCTTTGGTTTCCTCGCTGCTGCTGTCAACCAGATTAGAGGTTGTTGAATTTTCCGCCTTCTGTGACATTGCAATTGAGGTGAGGTTGGTATTCGGATTGACGGGCTTGGCGGAATTGGACCAAATCCACAAAAGACCCGGATTGAGACCACCTAGCCAATAGTCACGGCCTCGATGTGTTGGCTGATTAAGTAAATAGGCCATGATCTCTTCGTTCTCTGACACCTTCTCGAATTCGGCCAGGTGCGCTGAGAGTCCCTTGCAAGCTGTGTTTGCCGTCTTCCAGTTCACCTGCTGATGGCTATTAATATAATAGCAATTATCGCTGATCCGCGTAAAATTCGTTGGACAGGGATCACGAACTTCCTTTTGATTATTGCCAGCCATTAAATAATAGACCAATTGTTCTGTTCGCCGTACGCGACTTTCCAAATAATCTTAAAAGAGCGACAAAGAATAATAAAATTAGATTGAAGAGCTTGAAAATGTTACTCTATAAATGAAAGACTTTACTGGAAAAATTTATACAAATTTGTACGATTAAAAAAAAAAAAATAATAATAATAGTAAATACGGTGAGAGGGATTCTAAGTACTTTAAGGATTTTTATGGGAAATAAATTATATATAGATGATATTTAATCATTCATATAAAACATACAAAAATAGAGAGTGATAAAGAGATATTTGTACTTGACAACTGAAGAAATTGATGAATGGCAAGATCAAATAGATTGCTCGTAATAGTTTTATACTTTTTACAACATATCAAAACATAAATATCTTGTTCATACAGATACATATAATTGTTATATATCATTTTAATAAATAACCATTGAACAGCTTGAACAAAATTTGGATTCATTTGGCCAAACTCAGCTTAATTATGATATATATATATATATATATATATATATATATTTTTTTTTTTTTATACAATAAATATAATATAGATATATACAGAAATGTGTTATTTAAAACATCTCCAATAATCCTATCTAGCTGTTTAATTTATATATACTTGTATTTATTCTCTTCTTACCAACACGATAGACCAGCTTCTCGATGGCGCCCAGCAAATACAAATCATTTTCAGAGACGGCTCGGAATGTGTTGGGCGGATTGCCATGTGCCGCCAAATGCTGCTGCTGTTGCGAATGGGGCGGCGGTGGCTGCTGCAGCGGCACCGGCCGCAGGTGCGACTGAGGCGGCGATGGCTCAGAGTTACCGAAACCAAAGAGCTGTTGCAAGAAACCGGGTTGCTGGCGCTGTTGTTGCTGCTGCTGCTGTAGTTGTTGTTGCTGCTGCTGGTGCAACATTTGGTTTGTCATGGGCCGAAACTGTGGATTGACAATCGGGCCTTGGCTTTCTACCGGCGCCCGCAGATGCGGCTCTAACTCCACGGCCTCGCCAATGCGGCGAGTAATATAAATGTTGTTGCCCGGTCGCTTATATGCCGAGGAATGATAATTAATGGGTCCGCTCATCTCGCCGCCCATATAAGCCAGATCCTTCGACATGCGCTGGCTGCTGCTCTGGCTACAAATTGACACAGGTTTAATATAATCATCCACCTGAATCACCAACTAACACGCACACACACACCTTAGCACATAATCTTCGAGAAATTGTGACCAACTGCAGCCGTCCGTCAGCGATTCATTTGCGTATTTTTGCATAGTTTCACTGCCGTCCGGCTTGCATAACCCGGGGAAAAGGCCCAGACATATGAGCCATATGCAGACATGACGACACATCATTAGTTTCTTTACCGACATGTAATGTTTGCTTACAGATTCCACTCACACTCCAAACGAATAATAATCACAAAAAATACAATATGCAATAAAAACGAAAAAGAAAATGAAAAACACTTTCGGTTTCTAAGAGTCGCGTCCGCTTCTTGTGCCACTGAAACTCAAACTGAGACTGACTGTGAGCTTCAATTGGCGCTGTGGTTGGGGCTGGCTCTGTCATGACCATGGCGCGGTTTTTTTTTTATTCAGTTTTTTTTTTTACCTGCCTTAAAATGCAAAATTTCACTTTCTCCGACGCTCTTCACGAATGTAAGTCATTGGGTTTGCCGCTGTTTGTTTGTATTGTTAAAGTCTATTTGACGGCGGCGCCTTTTTAGGCATTGTTGTTAAACTCAATGCGAGTGTGTTTTAATTGTTAACTCCAGTTTATTGGTAAATACAAATTAATTAACCTTACTTATTATCGAAAAGTCGGCTACTGGGCAACTGAGTCTTATTTATTTACTCTTAAAACTGTTTTAAATGTTCATATAAAGCTCAAATATGATTTGAATACAATAAATGAGCATAAATCGTTTTTAAAATTGTATAAAATATGTAGCCAAAAAAAAAAAGAAAAAAATCGTTATGAGTAATATTTTAGAGTTATTCAAAGCTTGACTAACGAAAAAATACGAATCTTTTTTGGAATTTCCAAAATTTGTTTAGATATCAAATTTACATTTAGTATAGATGTAATATGAGCTAGATAAACTGTATTGTATTTTTTTTAAATACAAGTTACCTTTTAAAATATATTCCAAAATATTTTCCAAAATTAGTTCTTAAAAATTTTTATGTATTCAGCTTTGTGAAAAGATCTGGTTAATGAACTGTACTCTAATAATTATTAGCTGGCTAGAAATGTAACCAGCCAAACCAGCAAAGATGATTTATTTATTAAAGTCTTTGTTGTTGCTATCATAATAAAATATATATAATATTTAATAATTTATCTTTTAATATTATAGCCTTTTTATTATTATTCAATAAATTGTCCTATGGAAGTAGTAGCCAAGACTAATATTTACATAAAAATACTTTAAGTATAAAAAAAAATAAATATATAATTTTAGGTTTTATTTTGTTATTTGGTTTATAGTTTGTTGATTAAAAAAAAATTATATTTCGACTTATGCTATAAAATTATTGATAATTTATGCTTGTCATAACTATTCACAAATCATTTTCACATAGTTGGCTTTCAAAGAAATGGCAGTTGGGTTTGAGCCAGTTTGCATATCATTAGAGCTTGATTAATCCATTGATTTGCCGCTCGCTCATTGATGACTTTAGGGGCGTACGGTCCAAGATGAATGCGACCAGCATCCGTGAGTCGTGGAGCGTGTTTCTCGCTCTGCCCACATGACTGTAAGTGCTCTTGAGAGACATATGAAATTATTATAGATCGGTTGCCCTGAGCTGATCAACATGCTCAAATTGACTTTCATTGCGACTTATTTTGACTACTTATTAGCTACCAGTTTAACCATGTTGCAACGAAGGTCTCTTCTCGACTTTGGTCCGGTTCGATGACGCATTTCGTCTTTTTTTCTGTATTTATTTATTTGTGTGAAGGGGTTTTCCCAACGTGTTTTGCATCTCTTCAAAACCTTATGAAGAGCTGCGGCAGACGTTTCTCAAGCTATACGTAGAAATCCAAATTCAGTCTAAATTTTAAATAAAATATGTGGCTTTATCAACATCTGACCTCTTAGATGTTAATATAAAGCTGTATCATTCGATTAGAAAATTCGAAAACTTTCTCTGGCCCTGGCCTTGAAAGCATTGAACTTGGATTCCCCTAGATTCTGCTTAAGATTTACAAAACCTTTTAGCACCTCTTTCCCTTTAAGATTAATTGAAATAAACGCGAATTACCCCACAATAAAAAATTGAGAGCTCTGTTCCATGCAAAGAAAATAAGTTGTAAGTTCTCATCAAAGCAAACATCAACATATAATTTTTTTTGTATTTTTTATAAATTTTTTATATAGTTTTTTTTTCGTATTTTCTGGATTTTTTCTTTAATATATTATAAAATTTCAAATTTTCAACCATTCATCATTCTTAACAGCATAGATAAATATTAGGTCTCTCTCTTGCTCGCATCGCTCTCTCTCTTTTTCTCATTCTCTGTATAAATATTTTTAATTATTTATTTCTCGTGCTACTTGCGTTTGGATTGTTAGTTACTGCTCGAGTTCTTAATATTTTTAAAACATGACTTTAAAAATACAAAAAATTATTCTTGAGTTCAGATATTTGTGCATGATGTTGTTGTTGCTGCTGTTGTTGTCGATATTGTTGTTGTTGTTATTTATTTATTTAGAAATAGATTTGATTTAAAGATATACACAAAGGATCTTGTTTTTGGTATTTTGGTTTTGTTTCTGTTTTGATTTGCAAATGATATTAAGATGATAATCGTTTACATTTAGTTGAGTTCCACTTCTTCTTTCTCTACTATCGTCCGGACAAGAGGCCATGTTTAGTAGCCAGCCAATTCGGCGAATGTGGAGTCCATCTCGTCGGCCAGAGACTTGTACCTGTCCTTGTTGATGCCCAGCTCGTCTGTGAAACGAATAATGGATATGGAATATTAATAATTGTCACGGAATATTCGCGGGTAAACAGTAAACAGAGAGTGCAACATTTATTTGAACACAAGTAACATAAATCTTGAGCCACGTTGCCAGCAGTTGGCTGTGATACACTGTAAGAAATAAGTGTGCCTGGTTAATATATCATTTTAGTTTTGCGCCGTTGACAAGCGTTTACATATAAATATATTTCTTTTAGTTAGTATTTTTAAATTACATAAATAGGAATGCGTATTGTGTCTGAGTCAGGTTCATAGAAGGGGGATCGGGAACATGAATCTCTACGTGTGCAATGATGACCCAAAACTGAGCTACATGAGTGTGTATTCAACATCTGTCAAGTAGAGCCTTGGCATAAGCCATCCGAACTGCAGTCTAAATAATGAGATATGAGCAGCAAGGGCGCTGCACAGATAGTATAATCGAAAGTTGGGCTTGTTTTTTTGTGTCTGGGTAGGCAAGACAATTGAACATGCCACATTAAACAAAAGAAAAGAACTTTGCACTAAACAGAAATTAATTTTGTTTTTGTTTTCGATACATATATATAAGATAATGGAAATCACCTGTTGTTTCGAAAGCATAAATAACTACAGTTGGCATATAGAGAGTGGAACTGTTTCTTTTTTTTACAGTGTAATAGTATCTTGAGGGCTGGGTGGTATGTTGGAGAGCAACCACAAGACTATACAAATTATTTACAGTGTAAATTGTGACTGATCTGCACAGTGTCCAAAAGTAGGGGATATGAATAATGCAAAATATGATAGGGGAATACATTTGCTTGTGTCTCTGTATGTGCGTGTATATGTATGTGTTTGGACGCATGTCAGTGTGTGTGTGTATGTCATTATGGGAACTGTTTGGCAATTGGTTTTTCTTGTTTGGTTTTTAATATCCAGTAAGTTCAGCAAATGTCTGGTCCAAATCGTCGCAGATTGCTTTGTATTTTTCTTTCTCATGGAAGAGACGGTCTGCAAAAAGCATTTGTTGTTTATTTTATAATTATATTACATATGTACAATTAATAAAAGCAGCGTGTATTATTGTGGATAACCAACAATCAACATATGTACATTATAGTATAAGATATAAGTATATATAGACTGTTCGCATTAGTTGAAGCTGCATTTGAGTTTTTAGAACTTGAATGCGATATTTACATATCGTATATCGTATAGGGCAGGTGCACGCGCATCTCATTGGCGCACCGATTTGGTTTGAGAAGATATACATAGTTGGGAGTTATAGTTTGATTAAAGATTGACATACCTTCTAGCCTGTCGACTTCCTTCTGCAGGCGCTTGACTTGCTTCTCAGCCTGTTCGGCGCGCTGTTCGGCCTCCTTCAACTTGATAGACAAGGTCTTCATCTCACGCTTGAATTCCTCAACGCGCTGGTTGGCCTTCTCCTCGGACACTTCCAAAGATTTCAGCGAGTTGCCGACAACCTATATTGAAGGTAAAGTGTTTTATAGTATCTTAGGAATGGAATTTGATGTGTTGTATGAACCTTCAGTTCTTCCTCCAGCTCCATGATCTTGGATTCACCGGAGCGGACACGATCCTCAGCCACTTCGAGCTCGTCTTCAACGAAGGCCAGCTTGCGGGAGACCTCATCGGACTTGGTATCGGCATCCTCAGCAAGCATGCGAGCTTCCTTCAATTGGTTGGTCAACTGATCCATACGCTCCTCATCCTGCTGGGAACGGTTCTCCAATACTTTGCACATACGGTTGTTCTCATCGGCCGACTGTGTGGCCTCCAACAGCTTCTGTTGTGCGGTGGTTGAGCGCTCCTCAGATTTCTCCAAATCCTCCTCAATCTGTTGCACCTTACGGTTCAAGGTGGCTACCTCGGATTCCGTGGCGGTCAACAGTTTCTCCTTCTCCTCCAATTCGGTGTTGGCCTTCTCCAGCTGCTCCTTGGCGGTGACCAAATCGACCTCAACCTGAACAAATTTCTTCTCCAAGTCGCGCACCTCCTCATTGAGTTTGTCGGCACGGGAGTTGGCATCCTTAGCTTGATTCTCGCAGGTATCTGCCTTATCAATGGCATTATCCTTCTCAAGCTTCATCGCTTGCATCTTCTTCTTGATGGCGTCCATGGTGTTTGTGTTTTTGTTATTTGCTTAGGAGGGAAGAAAACCGGAAAAAGGCACTGCAAACAAAAATATTTTTTGGAAATTATAATTATTTAAATACAATATAATCAAAAATAAAAAATTAAACACTTATTTTAAATGTTTTATAACATATAAAATATATCTATAGTTATTTTAAAATATATAGTTATTAAACAGATATCTTATAAGTATTTTCAATATTTTTTTTTAAATCTAAAATCTCTATTTTTAGATTATTTTGCGCTCTTTCTTTCAACAATTCAGTTGCGTTCAAATCTTTTCTCACAGCTCATTAAAATACACTCCAGATAAAGAAAACAAAATGTTTACTTTACCCAATGCAATTTATAAGGCTGCAGTCGAATATATACATATATATATATATATATATACATATAGACATATATATGCATATATTCAAATATAAAGACGAAATGTAAACAGAATTTGCTTTTGCCGAAAACTTTTTAAACCTAACGAATTTTTCTACGCCCACAAAAGAAAACTGAACGATCTCTATTGCTCTCTCTTTCTCTCTCACATGTCGATTCCATTTGTTAAACGAATTTCAAAGAGTTTAAAAATAAATCTGATATGCTTTTGCATGTGAATATATCCAGTCCAATATTTGTATGTACATATAGAATGCTGCTGGCGTTTTTTGGACATTTCGGCCTGGCCTGCCTGTAATTCTAGAGTTTTTCAAAGCGAACACAAACAATGTCTGTGTATTTATACAAATATATATCTATGTATATATATACGTACATATATATACACGCTGATTGCAATTTGAAAATTTTCAGCTCATTTCTTTTTTGGGGTCAGAATTTGTGTAGGCGTTCGCCTATACACACGTAAGATTGTTATGTCTGTTTCTGTGTCGTTCGATAAGTAGGGCAAAGTCATTGATGTTGTAGTTGTACGAGGTTAATCCCAGATGGCAAGGAGATGTCAAGGTTTTAAGTAACAGCCAGACAAATGACTATAACATAATTCAATCTTAAGAGAAATGATCAACGAAGTCCTAGAGACTTGAGTTTGACAAGGCAATCGCATCAAGACAATCTTCAAATTCAATTTAATTATTTTCTATTTTTACTAGAATATAGAATCTATATATTTTATTATTTTGTATGGCCGTCAGTCTTATTCATATATAGGTAAAACGGAACATTCGTAAGTTGTGTGGGTGGCACACATATACCATATATATATATATATAATATATTCATAGCTATTTCTCGACATCTGCTCTCTAATAATTTTCGAACATTTCTGACAAATGGCCAAAAAAAAACTCAAGGATAAATTACCATTAGCAAAATGTTCGTTTGTGAGATCATAAAAGCTCAATGGGAAAAGCTTTCTCGTCTAAGTTTCAAATAGAGTTAAAAATAAAATCTTTAAAGTTTCTACTCAGTCAGTATCTGTGTATATGTATCTATGTATCTGTGTATGTGTGTATGTGCGACAGGCAGGTGTCTGTCTGCAGTTAATTTTATAGAAGAATAGAAATCTACTATGGGGCAGCTTTTCTATTCAGTTGTGTGTGAAAATTGTGCGTATGTGCATATGTATGTGTATGTATATATATGTGTATGTGTGTGTGGGCTCGTGTGTGAGTGTTTGTGTGCAGCTTTTGAATATGAGTGTGTGTGCAAATTGTTCACTCATACCCACTCATACACACTCACACACATACACATATAGAGGCGGATATTTTTGTCAGATTTAGTTACAAAATTCCTTATAAGCGAATTTTCTCACAACGTTCATATCATAAATTTGTTATACTACATAAATCGCATAACAAAATGAAGAACAATCATTTTCGATTTTCTTTGCTTTTGCAACTTTTTGGGCACTTTTTGAATTTTAAACCTTGGTTCAGATTTATTATTTTTAATTTTATATTAATTAATTTATTTATAGACACATACATATGCACATTTAATAACTGAATTTCTTATATATTATATATAAATATATATACAATTTTTTTGTTAAGTTTTGGTTATGCAGATAGCAATTTGAAATATGCATTTCAAATGCACTTTTCACTTTTTTTTTTAACTTATCGAGATTTTTGTATGTAGAATTTTTTTTATAATTACGCAGTTTTGTTAAAACTATATTATACGGCTTTCCAATATATATTTATGTATATTTTTTGATATTCCCAATGCAAAAATCCTGGCAGCAGCCGCAACTAACCTTAGCGTTTCAAACACACTATACGCTGTCGAAACCCCGAGAACACTGATGCTGACCAAGTCGCGGTGCCGAGAAAGCGACCCCAAGAAATAACGCAAGGCGCACACACACACACTTGCACACAAGCATACCAACACACACACACGCACTCACTCACTCATACAGTGGCACGCAGTATTGAATAATTTTTAATTTCGTAAAATTTCCCATTAAAAAAAAAAAGAAAAGCGCTTTCGCAACTTTTCATGGGCCATTTGAAATTTCCCTCGATATTTCCCCAAATACACATATACATATACCTTAATGTATCCGTGTATATGTATGCATATGCAAAGATCTTACGGAGAGCGAGCTCACTCTCTTCTTCTCCTCTCTCTCTTCGACTATGCTCGCATTTTCTTTTACTGCATTCAAGGCGTATGATGTCTCACAGACAGGCGTGAAAATTATGCGTTTTTTTTTTCTTAATTGAAAAATATACATACGTGAGTACATATATATTTTTTATTTTTTTATAAGCTTGTGTGTCTGTATCCATCGAAAGTGAGGCTATAAATAGCGCATAAATGTACGAAACATGCCCGAGTCGGACACGGCTAACAAGATGAGAATCTATTTTGATTAAATAAATATTGAGAAATTTTCTTTTTTTTTTTTTCACACGGTGCAGACCGATTTTGGTACATACAACTATAATTTTTTATATACATACATATTCGCATTTATCTTTGTGACGTGGCACAAGAAAATACAATTGAAATGATAATTTCAAAACTTAAATTTACGATCAAGGAATTAAAATAAACAAAATAAATAAAAAAAACGATAAAATTAAAATATAATATAGAATAGAAAATTGCTTTTTTTTTTTGTATATTTTAACAAAAATGTTTTAAAAGTCTTTTAGTCTTCTTGAAGTTGTAACCGAGAGCAACCAATTTGCAAGAGCTAGAATAAATTATTTATATTTCATGGAGCTGACATGCTTACCTGTTTCTAAAATATATATTCATATATATTTGTATTATTGTAGTAAAGTATATTAAATATTTAAGAGATTGTAGATTTTTCAATACGTAAAAATTTATATATGTGTACTTTCTTAGTAAAGCTATGGCTATGACAATAGAGGATATTTCTTCTAGGTGAGTCACTCAAACAAAATCCTAAAATAGTATTGATTTTTCGCTTTATTGTTCTTATCCATCTAAAAAAAAAAAAAACGGAAGTAAACATAATTTTTTACCCGGTAACACCAGTTTTGCTATCCGAGAGAAATACATAATGAAGGGTGTTTTTGGAATATTAAATAAAATTATTATTACACCCCATAATTCTGATTAATATTTATTTTATTTATTTCCCCAACAAAAATAGATGCCATCTGTGCATATATACAAACCAAAACCAGTTAGTAGAATCTACGTCTACATACTAGTCGAACTCATAACCAAAAGACTTCTATTAAATTAAATATATATTTTTATTTATATATTTTAATAAGGCTATCTTTTATTGTTATTTTCGGATTCCATTCACAGAAATTACTCCTCCCTCTTCATAGCATAAATTCTTCTGCCTCTTTCACTTACGATCACTAATTTGTTACAATAAGGTAAACTAGAGAAGGGGATTCCCCTATGACAGCGCTTTTAACATAATATTGAGACCGCATCTAAATAAGAATTGCTCCTTCAAGCCGGAGCCTAAAAGACGTTATACAACAATGTAAACTCAATGCGGTAAACTTTCCATAATTACCCAAAGAAAAGTCATTTATTTTCATATTTTTATGCAAAAGAATTTGTTTTTCCATTTATTTGTCATAAAAATATAAACGCTTAATAACTGAGAATAATTAGATTTTTTTTAAATACTTGTACATATTGAATTTGTATGTTTCACAATTACAAAAGCTAAGAATGTGTATATTTTATTAATATTGGTTTTTGAATTTTCTTAAACATCTCAATTTATTTGCAAAGGCCATAGAAATTTTCAACTAATTTTAGATACATTTACCAAACAGCTTGCAAGCATAGATTCTATTTGATTTATTAAAAAATTTACCGAATTTTGTATTCAACAAAAAGTATGTGTGTGCAGTATATGAAGCTATGGTATTACATATATAAGCTATTGACTGGTGGGCTTCAGATATATTAAGAAATATAAATAAGTGATCTGTGGCTGAGGCTGAACTTCATTTAACTTGCAATCCATGGGTTTACAGGCAGTATTTTCTGTTGAGTCAAGCTATTTCATACAAATATCCAATTTATATATGATTCATATGTAATTATATATTTTATTGCTAAAAATTTGGTTTATTATTAATGTGGGAATGCTTAAGTAGAACGTTTTTGTAGCTGGATGTCGAAAGGCTCTATTGGACTCCAATTTGTCATATCTCATCAGCTCAATAGTTATTGAGGTCGGCGTATTCCAGCTCCTGGGCAATGGTTTTGTACATCTCCTTACCTTTGCTCAGCTCATCTACGAATGCGGCAGTCGAAAAAAATATAATAATAATAATAATAGAAAAGACATAATCATTTGTATGGAGTTTTTTAATTTATTGCATAGTAGATTGTGAATACAAATGATAATTAAATAAAATTGAGTTAAACAAATACACAATGCGTTTGTCACATAAAATTTAATTAAGGCTTTTAACAAAATCTAAATACATTTACTTTAACTACACAGGCAATACACGTTTACATAGAACACCTACGAGTATGCTACGAAATACATAAACAAGAAATGTGCAGAAAAATATGTGTAGATAGACTTTGGTGGAGCTCTTGGAGGCGGGCAATGGAGCAGCGCTTATTCCTTGAGGATGAGCTCGACAAAGGCGGTATCGAGATCGTCGCCGATATCCTTGTAGCGCTCCTTCTCCAGGACAAGGTCGTCTGTTCATTGTTGTCAAATCATAAGCGAACACAGAAGAGTAAAGAAAATATACAGAAAATTTGAAATTAATAAAAATGAAAATATAATTAAATCAAGTACACAAATCAATATTGATAAACCCCTCACAAAACATAGAAAAATAAACCTTTTACAGAGACACATTGAAACTAACACTATAATGGATTATAATCCAATCTGGACAACAAATAAAATCAACTGAATATATTTACCTCTTTAAATAAAAATAAATAAAAAGTAACGGCAGGTGCACTGCGGCGGCAGTGTTTGTAGTCGGTAATGCAGTGCGGCGCTAGCTGTTAAATTCAAAATCAAAAATAAAATGCAACAGGCAAACAAGAGCTCAAAATAACACTCAGCCAAGCAGCGTGTTTTCATTTGTTTTTGCTTTGCTTCGATTAAATTGTTTTAATTAATATGAATAAAAGTTTTTGTTGTGCATCAAATAATAAACAAATAAAAGCAGGGCAGCAGTTTGTAGCGGTTGTATGTCTTGCGCAGCGGATTGCGGGGCATTTATCGTTATCGCTATCGGTAAAGATAACGATAGCGATTTTCGTTGATTTAAGCTGGTGGCGCCTCGGCCTCAGCGGCTGGTGCAGCGGCCTCGGCAGCTGGCGCAGCAGCTTCAGCAGCTGGTGCCGGTGCAGCCTCTTCTGCCGGGGGGGCAGCTGGTGCTTCGGCCGCTGGCGCAGCCCCTTCAGCTGATGGTGCAGCAGCGTCAGCTGGTGGCGCTGCACCCTCGGCCGGTGGAGCCGCACCTTCAGCTGCGGGTGCTGCGCCCTCAGCCGCTGGTGCAGCTCCCTCAGCCGGTGGAGCCGCTCCCTCAGCTGGTGGTGCTGCGGCTTCACCTTCTGGAGCTGGCTCTGGCTCAGAGCCGGGTGGTGGGGGCTCATAGTTCTTAACGAACGGCACTTCAGCGCCCTCTGGCGGCAAGTCGATCGAGTATTCGAATGGTGGTGGTGGTGGCGGTGGTGGAGTGGGTTCCTTTGGTGGTGGTGTTGGCTCCTTTGCCACTGGGACACCAGCCTCTGTAACAACAGCTCCTTCGGCACCCTCCTCGCCAGCCGCAGCCGCCGCTGCAGCTGCAGCAGCAGCGGCCTCCGCCTCGGCCGCAGCTCTGGCCTCCTCCATGGCGGCCAGCTCTTCGGGCGTGGGCGTCGGCAGCTTGGGTGTGGGTGGCTTCGGATTGCGCGGCGTCCAGAATGGCTCTAAGCCCTTGATCAGGTCCAGGAACGCCTCGTCGAGACTGTCGCCGATGAGGCAGTAGCGCTCTTTTTCAACGATTAGGTCGTCTGAGATGTTTGGCATGCGAACGCGATGGCAGAAAGCAAGCAACACAAGCAGTCGGGTGAGAGATAAAGCAATAGAGAGATAGAGATAGAGAGATAGAGGCATGGAGATAGCAAGAGTGAGAAGGAAGCATAAGCGAAGCTAACTAAATATTAAATGCTTTCCTAAGCAGCGAGTTAGTGGGCAAGTCGGGCGAATGGCTGGGAGGGCGGGGTCGCTTGTGAATCAGGTTAATGATCGTGCATTTGACGAACAGGAAAACACAATCCATAATTAGTTTTAGCCATAACGAGATCCTTTTTGATCTATTTCTATAATTTGTTGACTACTTTATCAAATGAAATCAAATTCGATTCGATTTAAGCAGGAGGCGCTTCAACAGCTGGTGCATCAGCAGCAGGAGCTTCAGCAGCAGGTGCTTCCGCAGGAGCTGCTTCGGCTGCTTGAGGAGCTGCCTCTGCAGGAGCTGCATCTGCAGGAGCTGCGTCAGCAGGAGCTGCATCCGCAGGAGCTGCTTCAGCAGGCACGCCCTCCACAGGAGCACCCTCGGCCGGTGCTGCATCTGCAGGAGCTGCTGGAGGAGCATCACCCACTTCGAAATTCTTTACATATGGCACTTCAGCGCCCTCTGGCGGCAAATCAATATTGTAATCAAATGGCGGCGGCGGTGGTGGTGTGGGCACTCTCACTGGCTCCTCAATAACTTCGGCAACAGCTGCTGCTTCGTCTGCAGCGGCTCCATCGGCTGCAGCAGCTTCGATTTCTGCACCCTCCCCTTCGCCTGCGCCCTCGGCCGCTCCTTCGGCAGCTAGCTTGGCTGCCTTGGCAGCAGCCGCTGCCTCCCGCTGCGCCGCAATGGCAGCGATCTCCTCTTCG